TACAGTGAATGTTTCCATTTTTAAACACAGTTCTAGTAGAAGACTATTAACCCCCTCAGAACCTTCTTCCCTGGCTCAGATGTACCAATCCCGTCATTCTTACTGCAGTCTGAAGCAGTTCTGGAAGTCCTCTTTCATGAGTGTCCTAAGTTGCACTCTTGTGGCTGCCTTGGTGACCTAAATCGATTGAAAATGTTTACTTTTCACGGTCATTTTGACTTTGGGAAAGAGCCAGAAGGTGCACAGTGCCAGATCTGATGAGTACGGTGGTGAGGATGCACTGTAATGGGTTTATGAATCCGCCTTTCCACTGGATGGCACTCAGAAGCAGCTTCTCCACATTTTTGGTCAGGCCTCGTAAAGACATTCAAGAAATAGGACTTAAGAGCTGCTTTAGAAAGTGGCAAAAATGCTGAGGGATGTGGCGCACACTTGTAATCACAGCACTTGGGAGCTGAGGTAGGAAGATTACTGTGATTGCAAGACCTGGGTTACATAGTAAGTTCAAGGCCAGTCTGAACCACATAGCAGGACCTTGTCTCAGAGAAACCAAAAGAAGGAGAAGGAGCGGGGAGGGAAAGAAAAAAGCAAGAATGATGAAATGAGTTTGAGTTTGAGTTTGTTAGAAGCAAGGGAAAAAATTTGAGGGGTCTTGATGTCAATGTGTCTTACTGTAATGATCTTTAAATTTAAACACCATGTGTTTTGATCACACTTTGGATGTCTTTTATGAAAAGTACTGATTTAATTAATGAACAAAATGTCTTGTAAAATTTTTTTTCCTGAGAGCTAGATGGTTGCATTTTATTATTGTTACATTGTTATGCTTGTATTGGTAGGTTGTCATGTTGCTATATTGTTCTACATTATTGTTACAGCTACATTGTTACTGTGGGAGACAACTCTAGTTACTCTCCTTGAATGCAAAACAATTATTGCACCTCTGATTATTTGGAGACTTATTTCATTATACTGATATGTAGAGAGCTGGCTATGGTATTTCCTTCTCTCTTCAGTTGGCTCTAAACATTGCAAATAAGGCTAGCCGAAGTGCTGATATGTACTTTCCAAAGCCGACAGACGGTCCTGTCTCCTCATAAAGGATGTGAGCCCAGCGGGATGTTAGAACTAATATCTACTGGGAATATCAATTGGGTGTGAGCCTCAAAATAAAGAAGCTATGACTCCCCAGGGCACAAGAGTTTACATACCAAAAACCAAGCAACAGCCTCCCAAAACAATTCAGTTGCTACTTTAATTAGATAATGTGAATTGAACCTTCTGCATATCTTTATCTCTGCAATTTACAGAGATGCCATTCTTGCACCTGGCCAGCCAGCTCAAGTTACGTAATTCCCACCGTCCTCACTGTCATTCATCCTTGAGCCACCCCCCTTCTTCACAAGATAATAAGTTCTGGGAGAGGCCTGGGGTCAAGGCCTTTGTCCGCATGTCCTCACAGGGATTAGATTTAGGACCCCTTGACTGCCCTTCTTGGAGTATGTCTTGGTGACTTTTACTCTGCCATGGGTTGCATTGGTGGTAGTAGATTGTAATTAACTTGCTGGGATTCCAGTGACATCTCAATGGGATTACAAATGTATCTTTTTGAATTGTGAGGAAAACTAAAAAGAGGATTACAATACTTGGATGACTGAACTTGATAGTTGGGATTACAATAGTTACATTGTTCCATTTTTGTTTTATTATTGCATTATTACATTTATTGTTTTGTTTCCCTTTTGCTTTCATTGGCTTGGATTTTAAAATAGATTAGGTGGACAATTTGTATCTTAAACATTGACTGAATACATTCAGGACCAAGCAGCTCTGTGGCCCAGGTCACCTCCTGCCGTACCACGGTGGGGCTGGCAGAAACAGACACGAGCATTCTGCGCTGCTGTGCTCAAGCTCTCTGTTTCAGCTTTTCCTGCACAGCATGCCCATTTTCCCTGAACGAACATTTCAAGAACCGGGAAAGCCTGCAAGCTTAAGTTTCCTCCGTCTCTCTGTGGGTTTGCTGACATTACGCATGTTCATGAGCCCCTCCTTGCTTTGGTAGCATGCCTGACTGGGCCCTGTTGATGGCCACCTTCTCCACTGTATGGGGACAGTACCTGTACCGTGGGAGCTGCGGGTGGCAGGTGCTGCTGGTGCCACACCCTTCTCATAGGCCTAACCCGAGGCTCCTATTTCAGCATCTGCGCTCCCGGGCTCATCGGTCACTGGGAGCTGGCCTTGACCCCAGGAGGGCAGAAACTGTCTCCTGGCCCAAGGCAGACCTGAGACAGATTCATGATCCACACAGCTATCCGTGGAGTTTCCTCCTCAGCATGTCGAGTCTGGCTGCATGAACTTGCAGCCTGCTCCAGGCGCACAGCCTTTTTGGAATGTTTTTCTTCCTTGTCTGCCTTCTTAGCATCAGCATTGGACATTTGCATGTTGCTAAAGCAATGTCCAATAAATAGGTGTTGATGTGGATTAATTCATCGGTTAGAAGAGGAAGATTCTGATCATTCAAGGAAATTATCATCTAAAATGGGAAAGATTAGAATACATAGGCATTGTTAATAAGACCAAAGTAATAATTGGTGAGAAATACAGACCAATCACATTTAGGAGAAGAGGTCATTCAGCCTTCTTGTGGTGTCTTTTGGGGTTTTGTGGGGTCAGCCAGCAGTGTGTTCTGGAGGTGGAAAGTGGGGATGTGTGCTGTCCTATGTATTTCTGCCCCACCTGGCACATAGGTGGCATCTGTCCTGTGACAAGATAGCCACCAGGCATCATTTAATAGGAGGCACTTCTGGAGTCACACTTGAATTACTTCCTGCACCTCTGACTTTGGCTTCTCCTGGCCTCAGTTTCCCTAAATGTCACATGAAGAAATTGAAGTTTGTTATTCCTCAAGGTTCCAGAGATCAGATGAGGAAAAGGACACAATATCTGGTCCATAGCCAGCACTCAGGTGTGTACTCCTTTTACAGGAATAGATAAAGTTTGCACCTGAGACTGTGTTGACACTGGACAAGAAAAAGAGCAGCACGGAAAAGCTTGTCAAGTGGGGAAGCAGGTTGCAGACAGGGAACTGGCAGCGCACCCTAACCCTGCACGAGGAAACAGATACAGGGGGTCAGTTACAGGGAAGCCAGACAGTGACTGTGGCCACGGAGCTGTCCACATTTGATCCCATCACGAAGAAGCCTTGACGATGGCCCCATTAGGGGAGACACAGATGATAATGTGCCCACGTGGGAATCAGACCCTGGGAGCGATCAGAATTGGAAAGACTGTAGGGAACTCCAGGTCTGTCAGCCCCATTCCCACCCTGAGAAACAGGTGTCAAAGCTGTGCCCACAGGCAGGACATCAGTGAGCGTGGGCTCCTTGACACCAATTTTGCTAGTTCCCAGGTACACTAAAGTGATTTGTGGTGGTTTGCCAGTTAGTCTAAATCTCCCAAAGCAATGCGGGCTGAACAGGAGGTCACCCAAGAGTGTCACGGCACTGAGCTGTAAAAGATGGGTCGGGAGTGAGCAGGCAGTCATCCCGGACCAGGGAAAGGGCATCGTCTCGGCCTCCTCCGCAGCCTTGGAACTGAGATGCACAGGGCTTGACTTCAGTCTCAGTCTGCTGGCCGCATCCATCAGTGAAGGGCGACTGAAGGGTTTGCTGCAAAAGAGATGGGAAAGTGTTCAGGCAGGAGATGCTGGCGAGGGCAGCGTAGCAGAGGAGACAGTTCAGGGCAGGGCTGCCTGGGTCACTTGACGGTTCAGCTTTGTTTCAGGCCGCTGAAAGCCACTGCAGACTCCAGCAGCTCTGCACCTGCCACATCTGTCTGGATGAATTAGGACAGTGGAGGGCAAAGGGCTCCGAAGGGGGCTGTGTGCTGCACCTGGAGGTGGCCTCAGCAAGACTTAAAAATGGGTAGATTTAAGAGATTTGAGCTGTCAAACCAACAGAGCCTGGGAAGGCCCTTCTGCAAAGTAGGTCGGAGCAGGTGCTGGAGGCTTTTCTATAAACCCTACAGTTACCATTATTTTTGCTTAAATTGTCAGCTTACAGAGATCTGATTAAGGAAAAGACACCGGTGCTGGGGCTATAGCTCAATGGCACTGTGCCTGGCAAATGTGAGGTTCCGAGTTTGATTCCCAGTACCGAAAAGAAAAAAAAAAAGACATCAGGGGCTGGGGATTTGGCTCAGTGGCCTAGCACCTGCCTGGTAGGTATGAGGTTGTGAGTTCGATTTCCTGTACAAAAAAAAAAAACAAAAAACAATGGACATGTTTGGTAACGACCTTCATGCTGTATCCTCTCGGGGAGACACATATTTCAGTGTGACCATATGGAAGCAGCTTCCTAAATCTGTTTTAAAGTTTCCAGCTCATGCATAGAAATGAAGTTCCTTTGTTTTTTTCTTTTAGCCCTGTATTTGTGACCTTGCTAAACTCGTTTCTAGATCTGAGAACTTTTCCTAGATTCTTGGATATTTTCTCTAAATGTCATGTGTAATTAAAGACAATTCTGGTTTTGACTTTTATGGTCTGATGCCTTTTACTTTTTCTTTGCCTTTTTGTACCAGCTAGGACTTCCAGTGAAGTGTTGAATTAGTGCATGTGGCCAGACATGGTGGCACACACCTGTAATCCCAGCATTTGGGAGGTTGAGGCAGGAGGATCACCATGAGTTCAAGGCCAGCCTGAGATACATAGCAACACCCTGTCTCAAAGCAAAACAAAACAAAAAAAAACAGGCATGGTGGCTCACACCTGTGATCCCAGCACTGGGGAGGTTGAGGCAGGAGGATTGTTGTGAGTTCAAGACCAGCCTGGGCTACAAAGTGAGCTCAAGGCAAGCCTGAACTGCATAGAGAGACCCTGTCTTGAAAAAGAAAAAAAAATTTCCTCTTTTTCCCACTAAGTTGTTAGCAGTTTTTGGTATATGCTCTTCATCAGTGAAAGGAATTCTTTTATTATTACTGATAAGTTTGTTGTTTTTTTTTAGCAGAAGATTCTGAAAGTGGTGTTTACATGCGATTCATGAGGTCACACAAGTGCTATGACATCGTTCCCACTAGCTCAAAGCTTGTCGTCTTTGATACTACGTTACAAGTAAGTCCACCAATTCCTGTGAATGTGTGTGTCCCTGGGCCTATGGCGACTGAAGTCCAGCAACACCAGCAGATGCCTATTGGGTCCTTTCTGTCTCTCAGACACAGGGCTGAGGTTTTGTCTGAATTCTTAATCTCCATGGCAACTTATAAGGAATGTGCTATTATTGGCATTTATGTACCGATAAGGAAACTCAAATTCTAGCTCAAGAGCATAAATCACAGTTTTAACCCACAGATTTTTAGAGTTTAAGGATTTCATCACAGAGCTTGTGCGTGGCAGGCTCTGGAATCTGAGCACAGCCCATGCTAATATAGGTGTAGTCTGGATATAGCCTAATGGTCCTTGTTGTTCAGTAGTGTATCTGATAAATATTTGAACTAAAATTGGTTAAAAAGAAGAAAATACTACTAGCTGGGCATGGTGGTACGTGCCTGTAATCCCAGCACTGGGGAGACTGAGGCAGGAGGATTGCTGTGAGTTCAAGGCCAGCCTGTACTACATGGTGAGTTCAAGGCCAGCCTGAACTATATAGCAAATCACTGTGTCAAAATTTAAAAAGGGAAAAGAAAAGAATACTAAGGTGGGTACTCTCTTGAGAGAGAACTTCTTTAGTCTTATTTAGCAAAAAATTTGAACCTGATCAATTTGCTGTTAAAATCTTGCTTCTAAGGGCTGGGGATTTAGCTCAGCGGCATAAGAATCTGCCTTGCAAGCAAGTAGTTGTGAGTTCGATCCCCGGTACCGATAAAAAAACAAAACAAAACAATAAATCTTGCTTCTAAGCCAGGTGGCTCATGCCTATAATCCCAGCATTTGGAGGCTGAGGTGAGAGGATCATTGCGAGTTCGAGACCAGCCTAGGCTACAAAGTGATCTCAAAGCCAGCCTGAACTGCATAGTGAGACCCTGTCTCAAAAAGACAAAAAAAAAAAATCTTGCTTCTAACAGTCACCTCATGTCAGTGTCACTTACGGTCATGTGTGAAAAAGTCCTGAATAACACACTCAATGTCATGGTTAAAATATACTCAGAGTAATGAGGTCAGGCTACAAACATATACACCTCCCCCTCTTGTTTATGTATGTGTGTGTATGCGTGTGTTTCTACGTAAGTCATCAGCAAGTGAGATTGTCTTCAGTCACCTTCCCCATTAGGGAACTTGTGACCCCAGGGGAAACCACAATGGCACTGGAGGAACAAATGGTGGGGACCAGGAAGGCAGCCTTTGCTGCCAGCAGAGCCTGGTGGAGGGCGGCTGATCAATTTGCTGTTAAAATGTTGCCAGAGCCCCGTGTGGCTCCCTGGAGTTTGTCCGCCATCCCTTCCCCGGCCTGAGGGTGTCTGCCCGGACCCTCTAGCCCTGCTCGGGCACCGCCTGCCTTTCTCCCCGCCAAGTCCCTCTCTGCCTTTGGATTGTAGCATAGCAGAGGGGGTTTTGTTTTTGTTTAATTCACTTTCCAACTATTTCTTGAATGGGAGTACCACTGATTTTTGCAAATCAGCTTTATATCCTATGACTTTGTTTGACCCATGTAACCTTCAGGGTCCCTTTTTAAGTCCTACAATTCTTTGAGGGTTTTTGTTTCATTTTTGTTTGTTTGTTTTAAAGATTTCTTGAGTTTTTGACACAAAAATGACAATACAATAAGGAATGATAGTCATTTTAAGAAATGTGGTCTGTGCAGTTGTTAGTTCAAATCTAAACATTGTGAATTCCCAGGGTAAAGGAACTCCTGGCAGCCCGTCTCATCCCACTCCCATGCCCTAAAAGGCTTCCTTTTGGAAGTAGCAGATCTCTTAGCCTGTGACATTGCTACAAACAGAAAAATAAATGACAGGTAATTTAACTTTCACCTGGCTTTCCCTTGCCGGGTGGTTCACTTTCTTTCGAATTTAGAATTTAGCCAGATTGAATAATAGGTGAAACTGTGATGCTCTCTGGACAATGGAGGTCACAAATCCTATAAATGTAACTTCTGTAATCATAGAAACCAGGTGTGTATGCTCCCCTATTTATTCTGTGGGTCTCTCACCTTGGGCAGAGCTGAAATCTATCACCATGGAAATGGAGCGAGCAGTTGGCATTGGTTAAAGCAAAGTGAAGGAGGTCTTTGAAGGGTTGAGTGCCAAGATATCATCTGTGCACCCTTGAGAGCTAAGGGAACAAACAGGAAATGACACGGCATCAAAGTGCCAGAATCTCACTAAGAGATCAGTTAAATACATTGTGGAATAAGTGTATTGAAGAACTCCCCATAGCCATTAAGAATGAACAATGTTTGTTGAAGATACACTTAGTGTATTTTTTGCTGTACTGGGAATTGAACCTAGAACCTCACACAGGCCTGGCAAGCGCCCTACCACTGAGCTATATCCTTGGCCCACTTTTTAAATTTTTCCATTTTGAGACAGGGTCTTCCTAAATTGCCCAAGCTAGGCTCAAACTTGCCACCCTCCCGCCTCCAGCTTCCCAAGTAGCTGGAATTCATAGTGCCACCACCCATGATGAGAATTTTCACACACGCACATACACAGGCTGTAAAACAATAGATACACTGACCAAGTCACTCCAAAGGTAGAACGTATCAGAGGTGTAACTCATCCAAAGAGTTTATGGGACTCATGAAGGGACCAAAGACAGCTGTTTCCAGGGAGACTGGCAAAGGAGATGTTTAGAAGTCATAAACAGAACAGAAAATTTTAAAAATGAAACCCGGCTGTCCTGGAGTGAGTACAAGTGTATTCTTGCACCAAGCTTCTCTGTGTCCCAACTCAGGCTCTCGAAAGGTCAGTTCCACATTCTGTTTGAGTTCCAGGAGTTCCCTAATTTCCTACAGGAATCAACCTCAGGAGCAGGGCCAGTGTCTCTTTCTGACCAGCTCCCAATCCTTGGAAGTCGAGTGAGCGTGTGACATTTGGTCTGCTGGGACTTTGTCACCTGCATGGTCTTGGGGCCGCTGTGCTGTGCCAGCGCAGGCCGTGGTGAGAACCCTCTGAGGAGCGAACCCGGTTTCCCATCTGAGCTCCTGAGACCAGGGCACGAAGGAGGGAGGGCTCAGCGAGGCACAGGCACGTGCTGAGTCCTGCACGTAGGGCAGGGCAGCTCCACTGCACCTGGCACCAGGCACTGCCCTCCATTCCCCCGGGCAGTCTGGGGGCCCATGAACCCCACATTTATGGGGACACTCAGGCAGCCGGGTACGGGTACTCTCTGTCCCCCCAGTAGCCATTGCCTCTCCAACAGGGCCTGGAGTCCCCACAGGGAAACACCATCTGCTGGGGGGAATGTGTCTGCACTGTGTGCCCCAGGAGTTTCCTGTTGAGGGAGACTAACCTGGCCGGGTCCTAAGGCCCTGGGAAGAACAGAGGCCCTGACACAGCGAGCTCTTGTTCTGGGCCCCCAGAGACCTTGGTACATGTGTCAGGAGAGCACGTGCAGGTGTGAGTGTGTGGCCTCCAGAAGCCCTCCTAGTGTCCAGTGGTAACAGTTCCTGTCCTGGGGCACAATGTCCCTGGGAATGTGCTGCCGTGTTTGGTTACCCAGCCTAGTGATGAGAGGACAGTCCAGGGGCTTCTCGTTCAGCTCTTCCTCCCACTCCCCTACTCCGAGGGTCAGACAGCAGGAAACCAAACAGGGCAGTAGACACCTGAAGCTCACCAGGATTAGAGATGTAGTTCTTGCGAAGGCCCTGGGTTCATTCTCTAGAACCACACCAAAAAGGAAGAAAAGCCCAGAACCGGTCAGTGATTCAGGAGCCAAGATGTGCACAGTGAGGAGCTGCAAACTGCTATGCCCCTGGTCAGTCGGGCCTGGGCTGTGACATCTTCTGATGAGCCCTGCTCTGACCATCAGAGAGATGGCATTTGGATTCTGGGGACTGGTGGCTGTTTGCAACCACTGCCAGTGCCTCTGGAGGCCGGTTTCCCTCTGCAGACAGCAGGCCCGGTGCTGTGGCTGGCCTAGCAGAGAGCTGGTGAGCACAGTGAACTCTCCAGTCTGACAGCTGCGGTCAGGTCTTCGGTCTCTCTGCCCAGGGTCTCCTTGTCCCATAGATCAAACATTTCAGAAGCTCTGCACCTCCTCCTCCATTCTTGGGGAGATAGTGATCAACTCTTGGCCACCAAAGACCCCTGCAAGTCCGACCATTCTGATCCCTGGTTACCCTTTGGGGCCCCGTGCCTGCCCTGTGCCCCTGGGGAGTATCCGGAATGGGACGTTGACACTGTCCCAGCTATTTTCTGCTGTGCATGTGGCCTGCAAGCTCAACAGCATGGAGAACAACTCTGCTCACATACACAGTCCTCCGAGGTGAGCGTGCAAGTGTGCAGCTGCACACAGTGACTGTGTGCCATGCCCTGTCTCCCTGAGCTCCTGGCTCCCTTCTCCCTGCACCTCTGCCTGTTGGGCACAGACTCAGCATGCCCTGGATTGGTTGGTCAGCCCCAGAAGTGCTTCGTGCCCCCTGCAGCCGTGTTCCCTCATTAAAGGCGGTGGTTTCTGATTAAGTCCTCCTGCAGCAAGAAAAGCCACCAAACGTGCATGAAATTTCTCCTCCTGGGAAGAGCCCATCCCCCACAGAGTGTGGATTTCTGTGGAGAAGAGCATATCTTACGGTACCTCCCATGCACAGCTGCCTGGGATGGTCCTGAGGAAGCAGGCACTGTGCAGGTGTGCTCAGGAAGGCTGTGGACGCCAGGCTCCCAAGCAAAGATGGTCTTCTGGAGTCAGCCCTTTCCACGGCCACAGAAGCATGCTATCACCTCGGTTTTTAGGAGTCCTGGCTTTGTCCCGGTCCATCCCTGTGCCTGTCACAGTTCCATGTCCTCCAGATCTGTGCCAGGTGTCTGTGACAGACACATGAGGCTGTAAAACCAGCGAGGTGTTCACATCACATAGTTACACTCATGCAGGATTTGGGAGCATCGGTTCTGCAGACCCATATCCCCAGTGCTCAGTTTCCCTCTCCGAGCTCCGTCCCACGCCGAGCCTTGTCCTCA